GCCTATAGTCCAAAGGTGAACTCAATGGAAACGATGACGCTGTTCCGGAAGAAACTTCCAAGTAAATTACTTTTTCCTGCAGTTAGGCACATTAGCTTCATTCCTTTTTAAAGTGCATTCGTTGTTCACCCTGGGATCAATATGCAGGGTTCGCCTTCAACGAGTTTTGGAGACTAGGAAGAAAGTACTTTGCAAAGAGCAAGCAATGGCTTATGCTTGTGCTTTGATTGCCGGATACGTACCTGATAATATAGATGATCTCATCTCTTTTGCCGACACTTTTGGTGCTTCTCGTTTAAGGTATAGATCACCATTGTCGCTATCCAAATGATTTTCATCGGTATATGGTTGCTGATTGCTCACTTTTTTCCTTTTCCTGTCAGGGAAGCTTGCATAAATTTCATGGACTTGTGCAAGAGAAAGAATGAAGATAGGCTTTGGATGGCTGAATTAGCTGCAATGCAAGCATCTAGAGAAGACTTGTCTTACCTTGGAACATCCGGAATCATACTTGCCGGGGGTGAAAATGATCCTAGTCAAAATCTAACTATAAATTTCCCAACCTTGAAGCAAGCTGGTTCCGCAGATGCCTCGGAGGTCAGGAGTGGAGACATCAACCCTGGTAAAGATTGATTTTCTTATAATTGCTTGTTTCGACTTGTTAATTCCAAAACTACTGCTTGATGTTTCGAAATCTTTTAACATGTTCTACAGATGGTAGTTTGGCATCCATGGATGGGAGATCCCAAGTACCAATGCCATGGCCACCCCATTTCCCTCGGTACATGCAAGGTTTTCCGGGTTCTGATTTTCAACAAGTGCATCCATATCAAGGGTACATGTACCCTGGAATGCCTGGTGCCTCCCCTTATTATCCAGGGAATATCCATTGGCCTCCGAATGTAGAGGATTCAAGTATTGCTCGTGGTTGGGAACTGGATGATCGTAGAAGTTATAAATCATCTTCTAGGAGCAAGAAAAAATCATCAAAAGGTAAGGGAAACGAATCCACTGCGTCTAGTGATTCAAGCTCTGAGAGTGAGCTAGAAAAGGAAGTGCAATAAGAAAAAGCATGGAAAGAAGTCATCGTCGAGAAAGGTTGTCATTCGTAACATTAATTACATTTCTTCGATGAGGAATGGGGATAACAGCAGTGATTCTGAAGAGAATTCCGATGAGGATGAGTTCATTGATGGAGATTCTCTCGAACACCAAGTGGAGGAAGCTGTTGGATCATTGGGGAAACAAAATAAGTCTACCTCACGTCATAATAAGAAACACGATGGAAGCAAGCATCAAAACACTCTTTCGTACGAGGAAGATGATCCGGGAACTAGAATTTCAGAGGGAGAAAAACTAAGCAATCCCTGGGATGCTTTCCAGAATCTGCTCTTGCGGGACAGGGATTTGGATTCTTCTGAAGTAAATAAACAGCCCGCAGGGTCTCAAGAGGAATATTTTGCAAGCAAGGGGGCTGAGGGAGTAATAAAGCAGAAAACAATCTCGAGTGACCCCTTTCTGGCCTCACAGATTGGTAGGGACCACGAAGGTGAAACTCGAGGCGCACATTTCGGAACTAATGAATTTGGTGGTTCGGTTGTTAAGAGAAGAGAGAGCACAAACGAAGAGTTGCTTATGTTGCAAGGCAATGATTCCGGAATCAGTTCCCGAGCTAATATCTCTGTTTATGCTGCAGAATCTACATTGCCCAAAAGCCGCGGAGAAGGTGAATGGTTTATAAACAAACAAATGGATAAGTTGACAAATCAGGATGAGATGATGGGCCTCAAAATGTTTGATAGGCAAAATGGTTCTTCATTAGCTGGTGAAAGCAAGAAAGATGTTTTTTTCGATGACTCTTTCATGATTCAAGGCCCATCAGTGGGAGAATATCAATCTGATTCTAGGATTGGTTTAGAAATGGTTCCTGAAATCGACTCTTCTCAACACGAACAGATCAATTTAGATAATGTACAGAAGGCTGCTTCAGTTTCGTTTGAACCAGATGACCTTTACATGATGATCGGACGTGATTCAGCTGAAAAGAATGCCATGACATCTTGGACTCAAGAGATTGACTATGAAATGAATTTATTATCTGCTGAAGGGACCGGAAGGCATGCTGATACTGAAACAACCTGTACCGGTGACAAGGGTCCCAATGCTAAAAAAACAGGGAAACTTCTGAATAAAGATATTCGTTCTAGACTTTCAAATGGACCTCATGCCAAGAGCAAATCTGAATTAGCATCAAAGAGCAGGAAACCACCAGAAGGAAACAAAACCACAATACGGAAGGCGAAGTCCGATCACGTATTTACCAACCCTTAGGTTCAAGTCTGTTCCTCAACCGAATGAGATAAAAGTAGACTGCAATGCTCCTATGTATCTAAGAGTTTCAATGCAAACTACAATATACCATAGCTATTTCATGCGGTTTGAGATACCATTGACTGAAACACATAGCGTTTCCCTCGATTCTGTAGGACATACCAAAACTTCCAATTGTCGTGTCAACTTTATATATGGTATAAGATGCTGATCTGTTTCTGATTTCTTGTCCTTGCCATTCTAATTTGATATAGGAAGAGGAAAATAGAAAGAAAATTGAGGAGTTACGGATCCAGCGCCAGAAGAGGATAGCTGAGAGGAGTGCTGGTGGTGGTCCTCATTCAGTTACTTCCAGGAGGAGCTCGACAGAAAATAAAATTTCGACAGCTTCGACAAAGAAGAGCCAACTCTACACTCAGGAGACTAAGAAAGCACCAAAGTCAGTCCTTAGAAGTTCCACCATAGAACGCCTCACAACTGCTCGGAATACATCAAAGGTTGCAGAGGCTGAATCGAAATCGAGCGAGCCGAAAAAGTTGACATCAAAGGAAAACAGTTCTTCAACCACTCAGAAGACGGCTCAAGCTAAGGATAAGAAATCAAGCACAAACAAAGTCAAAGCTTCAGATACAAAAAGTGGCACAAATAAAGTACATCCAAATGGCTCTAATGCACAAGGAAAAAAGGACCCCAAAGAGGTCACAGTAGCATTGCCAACAAAACCAGCAGCACCGGAAGCAAATCAACCTACTGACATGGTCGATGATTTCAAGGACATTCAAGAGCTGCAAACTACTCCAATAGAAAAAACTGAAGGAAATGCAACTTCAAAAAAATACCCATCGGAGGAACGAACCTCGAAGGAAAATATGCTTAATGAAGATAAGCCAATGCAAACAGATCATGTAAAAGGTGGAAGTATGGTTACAGAAGATAAGTCAATGCAAATAGATAATGCAAAAGGTGATGAAGAATTCACAAAGGCATCTAAAGTTGTTTCTGAAGATAACATAGCACTGAAAGGATTCGGTAAAGATATTCTTGAGACGACGGTTCATCCCGTGCTGCCAATCCGTGTCAAGTCCGTTCGGTTTTCAACCATAAACATAATAGATCAATGCAACAAATGAGAAAATTCAGCCTCGAACAATCACTGAAAAAGAGATCTCAACCCCGCCTCCCAATGATGGAGTGGAAGAGGAAACAATGCATACCAGGAAGAAATGGAACAATAATGAAAGCCCTCCTAAAGTGGCCAAAGGGTTTAGAAAGCTCCTCCTCTTCGGAAGAAAAAGCAAAAACTATTATACCGCTTAGAGTGTGTGCTTCCTATTCCACAATACTTCTGGTTCGGGTTTTTGGGGTTTTTTTTCCGAGTGCTTCGAGAGTTTGGGAGGAACATACCAATAAGGCTTTTGATGTTGGTGTCATTCAATAATTCATGAAACTGAAAAAAGAAAAAGAGAGATTCATAATGTAATTTATCTTTGTTTGATATATCATGTTGTTAAGGATTAAAACGCATTCTTTTTGTTTGATTGTATGCCACTGTAATTTGCATCTGTATACACATTTGAGTCTCTCTCTTTTTTTTTTGGAATCATTTGTGATTATGTTATTGCTGAGCTAAAAGAACTTGTAGTTTTCACTCTACCTTCATTGAAGTATACAGGAAAGTGAATGATATGTTAAATTTTTGGTCTAATTCAATTGTTAGTCGTTGTATTATGTATAAATTGCGAATATAATCTCTATGTTCTAATTTTATTAATTCAGTAATTCATTATATATGTAATCGTGATTTTAATAATGTAATTATATAAATATATTTAAATTTTAAAGAACATATATATGATAATGATCTAATAATTATAGTTTTTCCTAAAAGAAATGAAATCCTTTTACTAAAGTGGGTATTGATTCGTTTTCACAAAACATACAAAATTCACCAATATTTTTTTCTTCGAAAAGTGTGCAAGACAAGCTACAATTATTTGTACCTTTTGCTACAAATAGTTGTACTCTCGAGGATTCCAAAAATACGGTTAATCATGGCGGGTGTTTGTTCCCTTTCATTGAAAGTACTCTTCCAACTAACGTAGGGCATCTCTCCGCTTCAATGACCTTGTACCTCCTGCTTAGAACTCTTGTACCTTATTTTCCCAACATGCCCAATTTACCCTTTTAACTAATTTCTCCTCCAATAGAAAAAAAGCCTTGCTTCAAGGAATATGTACCCTTTGCTTCTATAAGTTGTACTTGGATTCAATGTTGTTTAAAACCGAACCGGTGCTTAAATCGATTCGATTTTACGTACTCAAACCGATAAACCAATCGGATTTTATCCAGTTCAGTTCGAGTTTATGGTTCTACCAAATGCTTCGAGATGTTTTATGATCTGAAAACAGTTGTTTTAAACGTTATTAAAAAATAAATAAAAGGTGAAAACCCCATTTTCAAGCTAAGGTGAGGTGTCATTTTCATATGGAGAAACTACATGTTTTTTTCCCCCAAAAGAATTGATTCATTTTAATCATTTGGCTTGCTTCTCATTGCTGATGGCGATTATCTTTTGTATATTTAGAGAGGGAGAGTTTGAGAGAGAAAGACCAAACCAAAGAGAAAACAGAGAAGGTTATTGAAGCTAGAAAGCTAGCTCCACATTATCAATGGCTTCCAAGCTTCTTCTGATTATTGTTTTTGTTCTTGATCTCATTGCTTTTGCTTTAGCTGTTGCAGCTGAGCAAAGAAGAAGCACTGTAAGTAACACCCTTGCTTTCTTGATTCGTTTTGTTCATACATCTGGGTTTGTTGAAAGTTGCTACTTTCTGGCTGGAAAATGAAAGAAAGTCGAAATTTTGGTTAAAAAACACCAGAAAATGTTTATTTAGCTTTCTGGTTTTCAATTTGATCCTTATGTATGAAATTGTCGCCTTTGAAGGAAAGGAATTGTCTTGATCCTGGTCTTGATTCATATACATGAATATATAGATACAATTCTCAATTGTGTATAAACTTACCAGATCTAAGCTGAATTGCCATGAAAATGGTAGATCTCAGTATTTGCTTGTTCTCTTTCAACACTGTTTTCAATTTTACAGAGATTATGGGGATTGGGAAGTTGTGGATCTGGTGTTGTCTAGAAAAGACATGAAAATTACTGTTGCGTGTTTTTATCTTTGTGCAGGGCAACAGTGTCCGGGACAATGATGATAATTATAACTATTGTGTCTATGATTCAGACATAGCCACAGGCTATGGTGTTGGTGCATTTTTGTTCCTCATGGTTAGCCAAGCCCTTATAATGGTTGCGAGCCGATGCTTCTGCTGCGGAAAGGGCTTGAATCCCAGTGGTTCAAGGGCTTGTGCAGTAATCCTTTTCATTGTTTGCTGGTATGTCACAATTTCATCAAAAGTTTTAGCTGACATTGTATTCCAATTTGTAGATTTGTGTTGCTTCATTGACTCTTCTTGGATTCGATCATCACAGGTTGTTTTTCCTGATCGCCGAGATATGCTTGTTGGCCGCATCGGTGAGGAATGCGTACCACACCAAATACCGAACCATTTTCAGTGAGCTGCCTCCTTCTTGTGAAACTGTGAGGAAAGGAGTTTTTGCTGCAGGGGCGGCTTTCATTTTCTTAAACGCCATTGTCAACAAGTTCTACTACATTTGCTATTCGAATGCTCGGGACAAAAGCTTCCAGGCTTACAGCAGAGAGACCGGTGTCGGTATGGGAGCCTACAAATAAGCGAGGCTGCAAAATTAGTGTTTATACCTTGTTGCACCAGATGTGGCTACATGGACTACATTGTCTGTTTTCCGAGTTGCAGTTTCATATGCTAAGCGTTCAATATAGTCGATAGATTATATTTTTGTATCAGATTCGTAACATTTGTTTGTCTGCCATTCCAAAATCGAAGTTTTTTGTATACATGTCAATAACAAAAAGACTGGGGTTGGTGTTCCGATTCAACATTCAATGTCAGTTGTGTATTTCTTTCGACATTGGAAGAACTGTTTGAAAACTTTTTTCTTTGCTTAGTATCAAGAAGAAACGTCCGAGCATTAAAGACCATCAAACCGAGAAATCTGTCCGGAAAAGGCCATCAAATAACTGCTCACCAACTATAAGCTCAGATCAGTCTCGCTCATGTAACAGAGACATCGTTGGTTTCAATTCAAAGAGAAAATACAGCAATGACATGTAAAATTTTAAATGATCAAAGTTCAAGTCTCGACATTTCTTATCCTACAAGTAATGAATCGGACCCTGATGAATGAAATTCCAAAACCCTCAATCTTTTTTATAGGATTCTCCAACGTAAACAACGGAAAATAGAAAAACAAGAAATAATTGGTTTTGATTCACGTGGTTAGATTGTAAGGCAACCTTTTTCTGCTTTTGGCAGACAAAAGGACATAAAAGGCTTTAGATTGGGTGGTTCTGCGTGCGGCGCCTAAAAAACGGTTAATATACGGTGTGACCGGTTAAATAAATGACCGGTTAAAATTTAGACCGGTTATGTTATATTATTTAACCGGAAATATTATAAAGTACAATAACATACTAGGTAGCGCTTATATAATGTAATAGGTAGCGCTTATATTTACCTATTTTATAAGTAAACCGGTATATTTATACCGATAGCATTGCAAATTTACCTATTACATTATATTATATTGAAAGTGTCCATACTTTTTATAAAAAGGATCGATACTTTAACAGTGTTTCATGTTTTCCACCTACAATATTAATTTAATAATTTCATTTGCACAAAAAATTATTTGATTGTTTTGATATTTTATAAAATAATATTTAGAATTTTTAATTTAATAATAATATATATCGTAACGTAAAAAATAAATCATTAGACGCCTATAATTACTAAATTAATATCTTAAAACTCACTCAAAAGATAACCTTAAATTAATGTTTTCCACAGTGAAAAAAGTATGGACACTTTTATAAAAAGGATAGACACTTTACAATATAACCACTACCTATTACATTATATAAACGATACCTATTACATTATATAAGGGCTACCTATTACATCATATGTTTACCTATTATATTGAAAGTGTCCATACTTTTTATAAAAAGAATCGATACTTTTTTTAAAACTTATGTAATTTATGTTTCAATTTTTTTAACAGTGTTTCATGTTTCCACCTACAATATTGATTTAATAATTTCATTTGCACAAAAATTATTTGATTGTTTTTATATTTTATAAATAATTTTTAGAATTTTTAATTTAATAATAATATATCGTAACGTAAGAAATAAATCATTAGACGCCTATAATTACTAAATTAATATCTTAAAACTCACTCAAAGGATAACCTTAAGAACACTTGAAGAAGCAAGAGAACAACTATCCAAGCAATCAAAAACGAGAAAATCCCAACATGATAACAATTGAACATATCATATCAATGTTCAAACTCAAGTTGTAGATTTTGATTTCCTTTTGCTTGGCATCATATGAGATTTGGATTTTGATTTCCTTTTGCTTGGCACCATATGAGCTTTGGATTTTGATGAGCATCGGAAGTATTTCAGACTTATGATTTGGGTGGTACTCAACTTATGATTTTAGTTGCTATTTGTTACATTTCTTGTATACCACCCAGATCATACGCCCGAAACGTTTCTGACGCTTTAAAGTTGACCAAAAAATAAAATGGTCGGGATTTCCCTCGCGTTTATACGTTGGAAAAAAAACAATGGAAATTAGGAATAATCAATGATAACATGCATATTGGCTTGGGCTAATATTTATAGTGGAGCCGAAATATATATTGAAATTCAAACTCAAATTGAAATTTAAATTCAAACTCCAATTACATATGAAATGAATTTGAAATGCAGTGTTAAATTGAACATGAAAATTGCATAATTGATTCATACTGTTCAAGTAACATGCTTTATGAACCATCAAGCTAAAAGACAATATTGATTGAGTTCAAAGCTGAGTTGTGAGTTGATGGAGTTGTCACACTTGTCACATGGTTGGAATAAAGTACTCACATGCGAGATAGATTGTTTTGTTATACATAACCCATCTCAACGAAATTAATCCAAATAATGTACCCATAACAATGTTCAATTAATGTACCCACAACAATGTTTAATTGATTTGTTGTTTAATTTTCAATTTGAATTATTTGATTTAATAATTTCATTTGCACAAAAAATTATTTGATTGTTTTGATATTTTATAAAATAATATTTAGAATTTTTAATTTAATAATAATATATATCGTAACGTAAAAAATAAATCATTATACGCCTATAATTACTAAATTAATATCTTAAAACTCACTCAAAAGATAACCTTAAATTAATGTTTTCCACAGTGAAAAAAGTATGGACACTTTTATAAAAGGATAGACACTTTACAATATAACCACTACCTATTACATTATATAAACGATACCTATTACATTATATAAGGGCTACCTATTACATCATATGTTTACCTATTATATTGAAAGTGTCCATACTTTTTATAAAAGGATCGATACTTTTTTTAAAAGTTATGTAATTTATGTTTCAATTTTTTAACAGTGTTTCATGTTTTCCACCTACAATATTGATTTAATAATTTCATTTGCACAAAAATTATTTGATTGTTTTTATATTTTATAAAATATTATTTAGAATTTTTAATTTAATAATAATATACCGTAACGTAAAAAATAAATCATTAGACGCCTATAATTACTAAATTAATATCTTAAAACTCACTCAAAAGATAACCTTAAATTAATGTTTTCCACAGTGAAAAAAGTATGGACACTTTTATAAAAAGGATAGACACTTTACAATATAACCACTACCTATTACATTATATAAACGATACCTATTACATTATATAAGGGCTACCTATTACATCATATGTTTACCTATTATATTGAAAGTGTCCATACTTTTTATAAAAAGGATCGATACTTTTTTTAAAACTTATGTAATTTATGTTTCAATTTTTTTAACAGTGTACTGCGAATTTAAAATGATAATATACTTGTAGTTATTGTACATACCTAAATATGTACTGCGAATTTAATGTTGTACCCACCCTTTAACTACCACTACCAATGCCACATCCTATTGAAAGCAGCACGACAGAAACATGTTGGAATGTCATCAATTCCGGTTGGAATGTCCGCTTTTTCAACCTACAATTTTGCATACAAATTTTTGTCACAACAACATAATAAAAATCAAATTAAGTATTCTTTTATTAAACTTACCTTCTGCTTCTTCTTCTGGGGTGCAGGACATTCCGAATCCAAAACTGCTGCTATAACACTCTCCGGTGTATAAATGACATCGACTTCCTTCCTCCTCATTTCTTCCATCTCTTCTTCTTCCTCCTCCCTCTTTTCTTCTTCATATTTTTTCAGTTCATCGTACTTTTTTTCTACATAGCTCTTCATATCTTTTATTTCACCCTTCAATTGAGCTCCTTCATCCGAGTATTTATCAACCACCCCCTTCACCCCCGTAAGTTCACTCCTCAAATCAACAACCTCCTTCACCACTCCCTCAAATTTTTCTCCCGTCACCATCTTAATATCACCCCTTAACACCGAAACTTCTTTCACCACTTCACCCCTCAACACCTCTACTTCTTTCACCACTCCATCTATTTTTCCTTCCACTACCCCCTTATGCCTCTCGAGTTTCTCTACGACTTGATCAAGTTTCTCTTCGACTCTTGATTGTCTTTGCATGATTTCAAATTGGATTTTTTTGATATCAGCCAATTCAGACATCAAAATGTCGAAGTTACTCTGTTTTGCTTCACCGTCGTCCCACTCACCTTCATCCCCCAATACAACCATCCCTCCTTTCTTCTCCTCTGCCTCCACTGCCTCCTCTACATCCTTGCCAATAACCTTCAAAAAATTAAATTACAATATTAAGACATTGATTATATTCTTAATATTATTTAATTACATTTATTACCATTTCTTGCTTCTTCCCTCTATCCAACTTCAACTTCACCATCACTCTAACCACCTCTTCCTTCCCCCATGCACGGATGCGTGCCACTCCGGTTCTTTCATAAGCCGGCACTGCCTCACAGCCCGACCAAAAATCGAACAGTGCAACCAGCATTTATAATAAAATTTATATTTTTATATAAAAACACAAAAAAGTGATTCAACTCATTTACCTCTAAGATTGCTATGCACCCTTTGAGGTATCTCTGGCTGCCCTTTTTAAAGGTGATAATTGATTCAATCAATCTCGAATGGATATATTCAGCCCAATTGAATTCACCCTTCAAGCCTTCATCGCAAATGAGCTTCATATATTCCTTGTTCGTTGACGTATCACCCGTTGGACAAAGAAATATACCGACAAGGTACAATAGAACTCGGGCCTTCAGCTCATCCCCCAAGTAAGATCCACTTTTGATATCCTCTTCAACTTCAGTATATGTCACCTTATGATTCAAACCATATTTGGAGGCAAGTGCTTTCCAGTTCTTACTCCTACAGACTTCTATAACACTTTTGCCTTTGTTTTGTACCCCCAATACGGCTGCAGCAGTCGATACCCCCAGAGGGAATGAATAATCACCATACTTAGCCATACATTGACTGACGTCAAATTGTGCCATCAAGGATCGACACAATTCCCTCCGAATAGGTCGATCCCTTACTCCGATCAACGATCCAAAACCTATTTCTCCCAGCACATTCAACTGACCCTTCTCCTTAAGGTGTTTAATTAATAAATTCACCCTTTTAATGCTGCATCTTGTCGACACTTCCTACATTTTTTAACAATATATAATGTTATAGTTCTTATATATTTTGTATCAACGTATTTACAAGTTTAATGAATACCTTATTTTCATGTGCTTTCCTCCGTTCTTTGTATTCTTTACTATCATTCCTTGACTGTGTGAT